AAGTTCTCGGGAACTTAGGACCATTTTCCAACCGTAGTTTTTAGCCCTTCTGCTCTCACATGAAAGCTCAAAGACCCAGGGAGTTGATCCTGGCAAAAATTTACACAATCTCACCATTTTGGGGGCCAAACAATCTCCTTTTTCAAAAGATACTGCGGGGGCACTTCAAATGCTGATGAGTGGGCCAGAAATTCTTACTTGAATTAGTGGTCTGCACCCTCTAGAGTAGTCAGAATCATCAGGTCTGGTATCCAGACGCGGATATGGCGATCCGAATACGGATATACACACTTCAAACAACACGTGGGGGTGGTGGCACACGTGCTCGTTGAGTGACGGTAGTACTGAGCGCACGGTGGTTGCTTTAATGCGCTTGTTTTCGCGACTTTGTGTATCATCAAGACAACACGTAAGAAATTGAATTACTGGTACACCTACGGGATATGGAGAAAGTTCATTTTTTTATTCCACGCTTTCACATTATAGGAATAAAATTCATAGGCCTAGTCCTTGAGACTGTGGTCTGGAGAAAGGGGCAAATACCATGTTGAGACCTATCAGGGGAGTAGGACTACCGACTACGATTAGACCCATAAACAGGGCCCGACGAATATCCTCCTAGTATACAACGGTACGGAGGAGTATTTGTCGGGCCCTGTTTATTTGGCTTACGGGTGTAGACTAGGATCAACATTAGGCATGCCTACAGTACATCTTATGCATATACATAGCCCATTTCTGTGAAAATGACAGTAGGCCTACAGTATATGCCCACTTAGATTTGCACACATCTTGCAGATTGTGTATCCCTCTCCAGCAAGTCGCTGGGTATGATGATGTGCTCACATGCAGCTGTAACATTATTAGGCCATCACATGATATAAGCCCAACGTGGTCAAAACTAAATTTTTCTGAGTGCCCGCCCAACTTCACTTTGGCATGGTACTAACAACTACACTGTACGTTAGGCCTACTTTTCTGAAAACAAGTTTATACATGTATATGTATATATATACTAGAATTTATCGACTCTGAAGAACTTCTTTCGTGTATGTGGGATTTTCAGAGATTCGTTCAAGTGTGCCACATAAAATAGGGACCAGTCAGCTGCATTTGTGCCAATTTCTGGATGCTGTACGGTCGCTTTTAAATTTTGGGTTTTTAAATTTCATGACATCAAAATTGTTCATGTGTTTTAAAGCTTATAGTATTGTATGTATTTACTGTAACTGAATGAATCCATGTTTTTCAGCAAAGAGGTTTGGCAGTGATGCATGAGGAAAGTAAAAAAACGTTGAAGAGTGTCATGTTAGAGACTCAACTTCATTCGGGCCAGGCTAGTGCACTATACCTCTGTGTACGTGGCCCTACTCCGGCTAGAAACAAGTGGAGGAAGGCTTAACCACTGGGATGAAGCTCCCCGGCCGTGAATGGTATCAGCGACATGCGGGTATTCCTCAAGTGTCTTTTTGATAAATTCACCCAGNAGTCTGAATGCAGCCATTTTTCAAGTGGCAACCCTCAACTTAAGTTCTCGGGAACTTAGGACCATTTTCCAACCGTAGTTTTTAGCCCTTCTGCTCTCATATGAAAGCTCAAAGACCCAGGGAGTTGATCCTGGCAACGATTTACACAATGTCACCATTTTGGGGGCCGAACAATCTCCTTTTTCAAAAGATACTGTGGGGGCACTTTAAATGCTGATGAGTGGGCCAGAAATTCTTACCTGAATTAGTGGTCTGCACCCTCTAGAGTAGTCAGAATCATTAGGTCTGGTATCCAGACCTGGATATGGCGATCCGACTAGGGATACACGTACACTTCAAACAACACGGGGGGGGGGGCGGTGGCGCACGTGTTCGTTGAGTGACGGCAGTACTGAGCCCACGGTGGTTGCTTTAATCCGCTTGTTTTCGCGACTTTGTGTATCATCAAGACAACACGTAAGAAATTAGTCTCTAAGGAATCACTGGTACACCTACGGGATATGGAGAAAGTACATTTTTTATTCCACGCTTACACATTATAGGAATAAAATTCATAGGCCTAGTCCTTGAGACTGTGGTCTGGAGAAAGGGGCAAATACCATGTTGAGACCTATCAGGGGAGTAGGACTACCGACTACGATTAGACCCGTAAACAGGGCCCGACGAATATCCTCCCAGTATACAACGGTACGGAGGAGTATTTGTCGGGCCCTGTTTATATGGCTTACGGGTCTAGACTAGGATCAACATTAGGCATGCCTACAGTACATCTTATGCATATACATAGCCCATTTCTGTGAAAATGACATGAGTAACTGAGTAACTTTAGTAGGCCTACAGTATATGCCCACTTAGATTTTGCACACATCTTGCAGATTGTGTATCCCTCTCCAGCAAGTCGCTGGGTGTGATGATGTGCCCAAATGCAGCTGTAACATTATTAGGCCATCATATAAGCCCAACGTGGTCAAAATTATATTTTTCTGAGTGCCAGCCCAAGTTCACTTTGGCATGCTACTAACAACTACGTTAGGCCTACTTTCCTGAAAACAAGTTTATGCATGTTTGTATGTATAAACTAGAATTTAATTTATTAACTCTGAAGAACGTCTCACGTGTATGTGGGGTTTTCAGAGACTGGTTCAAGTGTGCCACAAATACGGACCAGTCAGCTGAATTTGTGCCGATTTCTGGATGCTGTCATTTTTAAATTTTGGGTTTTTAAATTTCATGACACCAAAATTGTTCATGTGTTTTAAAGGTTATAGTATTACATGTATTTACTGTAACTGCATGAATCCATGTTTTTCAGCGAAGAGGTTTGGCAGGGATGCATGAGGAAAGTAAAAAAACGTTGAAGAGTGTCACGTTAGAGACTCAACTTCATTCGGGCCAGGCTAGTGGACTATACCTCTGTGTACATGGCCCTACTCCGGCTAGAAACAAGTGGAGGAAGGCTTAACCATTGCGATAAAGCTCCCCGGCCGTGAATGGTATCAGCCACATGCAGGTATTTCTCAAGTGTCTTTTTGATAAATTCACCCAGCAGTTTATCATGTTCAATTTGCCAAATGGTGAATTCCTGACCATCATGCCCGTTGATGAATTATTTCTCATCTTGATACCATAATTTTGTTACAACTGTGATTTGTTCAAGATCTTCACTGGCAGTGAACATGTACAANTGCACACCACATTTGGTGCGTTCAACTGGCATCTGTCATACGTTTGAATGAATCTGTTTTTAACATAAGAGTAGCTCTGGGAGCTCCCCTTAGGCTTTCATGCCTGTAAAAGTATGCACAGCGTAGTATACCAGTAACGTCATTGAAAAAGTTTAGGACCACTCATACAAAATGCATCAATCTGAAGAAAACCCAAACTGAAAACCAATCATTCATGGCACCTTAAGGTGTATGTTTATTTTCAGTTTTTAACCTTCGCATCTTGGTTAAACAGCTATTTGACTACATTTCCGTGATTTGAAATGTTAACAGTCTAATGTTAAGTGTGCCCTCCTTTTTGCTGATGCTGATTTTTTTAACCCATGCTGCCTTGTAGACAAAATATACAAAACCTGCCTTTGCAAAAAACTTCATTCAAATGGGTATACAGATAGCACTACTGCAGTGATGTTATGCACCATTCAATGAGACAATTAAAGCAGGCCCAGTGACAGAAATACCAATAAAATTCTGGGTGGTCTTTTGCAAATTACTAGTTAATAGTATTCCACTGCCTTGCATTTAATTTGGCCACGTACATGTAGTGTGGCCACGAAGCAGATCAGCAGAGATACCAGGAAGTCAACTTACATGTACATGCCACGTATTGTTCCATATAACTGGAGTGTGGTTTTCTGCTTGAGTCCTGTCTGCGAGAGTCAGTGATTGAAGTCTGAGCGTACATGTACATGTATTCTTATAGGTTCTGTTTGACACTGTGCTGGTGAATGCTAAACAAGCTGGGTTATTTTGGACCGTGTGACTTGGCCATTCCATGCTTCATTTTGTAAAAATTAGGTGTGCTCAATCCAACAGATTGTTTTGCTATGATTGTCATTTGAAGTTCAATAGCACACACTGCATGTGCTGGCCTGCCTACACATACATTGAGCATAGCAGCGGAGAAGTACAAGGTTTTGGCTAATCTGTGATTCCACAGCCCCCCAGCTCTTTTGTTTTTGGTGAAACTTTAGTTCATGGTTTTCAAGTCTTATTTAATTTTTGAGTTCGGTCATTTTTTCAAAAGATTGTTTTTTGTTTTGTTTTGATACTTACATGTAGAATTAGTGTGTGAGTCCCTATTCAGTTCCCTGCAACTTTGCAGTAGAGGTTTCTTCAGTCAGTTTGAGTTTCTCTCATTGTGATAGCTTGCTATTTTTCCAGGTCTGCCTTGTAATTGAATGCACCCTATACGCTTGCATTGCATTGGCACACTATGATGCTGGACCCCTCACCTGCATACTGTATATCCATGGCAGATGGCAATCAGGTAAGAGATGACTGGACAATGGAGACATGTAAGTCTGAATATGACATCGTGCTAATGCACATACATACATGTAATTGACACCTGCCAACCCTTCTGATTTAATTGCAATTAGGCAGCTGTGGTGGTTTCATCCTCCACCCATGGAAGGGAAAAACAGAGAGGAAGAATTTTTTGGAGGGGGGACTGCAGGGGGGGGGGAAAGTGATGGAAGGTGTTATGTCAGTGTGTGTATGTGTGTGGGGGGGAATAACCTTTTCCCTTCCCTATAGGGTCAGGAAGATCAGGCATAAGTTGAATAATGTATCTGCTTCAGCTGAAAAAGTTGCCACTTGGTGCAGCCATCAAAAAATGTACGGTTTTGTGTTAATTTCTCTTGTCTTAGAGAACTAAATTAAAAACTGAAGAGACTGCATAGTGCTGGATGTTATACACTTTGTAGACATGATGACCTGAGAACATAACCAACAGTAAACTTGTTTTGGGGTATAAATTCCCCCAAAAGGTACTGATGAAAGCTACAATTTAAATCTTCGAACTTTTTTTTAGCAGAGCTGTCCTTAAATTAACAACATGAAAATGAATATTTGTCTTGTAAAAAGAAACTTTTTAATTATAAATGGATGAATTAGTTAAATCATTTTATGATTATTTTAATTTCACAGATCAAGCCCCTTATTGTCATAATATGTACTCTTGGAGCATTGATGATGGTCCAAGCAAGATGGTCAGATTGTGGAATCAAAGAGGGCCAGCAGTCTACAACCTTCAGAAGAGGAGTTGAGAAAAATGGTGAAAACTACATGTATCACTTTGCAAATACTGACCTTGACCCTAAACCTGCCAGTTGCAGCATACTGCAGCAGATGTAAAAGCCTGGTGCACTATATCGGTGTTCCCCTTGGACTTTTTCTTCCGCGGGCAAGTGGAAACTTACTGTGACAGAATGTTTACTGGCTGTGTAAGACCTAATAAGATGCGCTGTACAAATCATGATGAAATTGGCAAAATCTGACAAAAACAACGATAAAAATCACACGAATTTGCCCAAATCTGCCACGAAGACGACAAATTCATACAGGAAAAGCCCTGTTCACGATGTATGTATAGCTTTATCCAGGCACGCCTCACTGTGTGCACACGGCATGCTGCTGTACTGTACGCATGGAGCTGGCGTCTGGGAACCATACAACCATTTTCTATGTGTAGACAGTAGTTTGTTTCGTATGTTTAGCATGGTCGCGGTCTATCTACCTTCTATAGGAACTGTTCCCATTAAACTTTTTTGCGCCCCTGCTAACTTACCATGGCTGCATGGAAATCTTCCACAACCCTTTTCAGCCTGAGAGTTTTACATCATGATTGCGGTAAGTTGACAGGGATGTTAGTTTGCTGTGCATTCTCTTTGGATTTAATTTTGTAAGTCTTCTGCATTCACATACCCCTGCCCAGCCTACATATGCAAATTTTGCATGTGCCTTTTACAATTCGCTGAAAAGACTTGATTATGCATACTGCCCCTTGACCCTCCACAATGTACTTCGATCCTGCTGCCATGTTAGTCCTTCATTTACGGACATGGTTTTATGGCATTTTCTGAGTTTCGTACCTTTTACGTTTGTGAATTGACTTGATTCCTGTTACGAATAATTGAGCGATTTCTTATCTATTGATAAGAGTGCTTATTTTTGTATTTCCTAACTCATATTTGGCATATTTTCTTGTTATTTTCTGCCCCTTTTTTCTATGCTTTATCTCCAGGTTTGGGTTTGATGCAACGTAGAGTATTGTGTATGGCCATTGAACAGGGTTGGGCAGCTCTTTGTTCTCTGTGTGGTGCGAGCATTTGAATAACAACGACCCAACGCTATATGGGTCTGGCCGTGGAGCGGGGCATGGTGGGCTGCCCCGCTCCTTTGTGGTGTGGTTTTGCATTATCCAAGATTAACGGCCATGATGAGGAAAGACCCAGTGGAGTTAATAGGCGGGGGTTAAGTGAGCTATGCCGCAACAATACCCTTATCGCTGATGACTATTAACGGAATTGATCGGGCTTAGCGAGCGGTGCTGTAACAATGCCCTTTATCACTGATGACTGTACCTTACACCTACCGACTGGGCTGAGCGTGCTGGGCCCCAACACTACCCTGGGTCATCAATGCCCACTCCACATATCTACAGATCAGGTTGAGCGAGCTATGCCGCAACAACACTCTTGATCTGGACTGCCTTGAGAATAATGGGCTGTTCCTTTCTCTGTGCTGCAGGTACCGAGCATCGCTACCTACCACAGCCCGAGCCACTCTACTGACCGAGGGCCCAGCAGGGCTCATGGGGCGACGGTCCGCCATCTGCCCCCAGGCCCCTCACCGGCTTCTGCTCCCTGGGCGGTGCCCATTCGGAAGCCCGGACAGTCAACTCCTTCCAAGCGGGTAACATGTTCCACAACTGGTTGGCCACGCTCCACCGCTTCTGCCACGGGTGAGTCTGCAGCTGAGCATCCCCGTTGCATCGGATGACATCGCCCCCTTTGGACTGCTATGCCGCCAGGGCGTTCGTCTGCCACATCCCATCTGCAGCTCTGGTCTGCCAATGGACTCCGGCCACCAGGCCACCAATCCCAGCCTTGGAATGCTCCTCGCAAGTAACGACCGACCATCCGGGGACGCTCGCCTGGCTATACTGCCAACCGTCCCGGTATCTGGCTCCCCCGCACCAGCGAAGACTATGAAGTGCAAGGCCAAGTCATCTTCCTCCGCTTCTTCCGCATCCAAAGCTCAGAAGAAACGCCTCTCCGATCCGGATCCTCCTCCATGGGGATGGCAACCCTTCAGTCTCTCTCTGAGGCCTTCACCTTGCTCGCCCGCAAGATAGACTCTAAACCTCAGCCGGCAGTGACGGCACTCGACCCGTATCACCTCCCAGCTGTCCCTCCTCCGTTGCATGGGGGTTCTCGGAGGCAGAAGTGGTTTCTGTTGGTGACTCTCTCCGTTCGAAGCATAGCTCGGCCTCCAACTACCCTCTTCCGAGGATGACGACATTGACTCTATTGCCAGCCTGACTCAATCTGTAGGCCGTCACCGCTGCCTTGAATGTGATATGATCCACATTCTTGGGCTCCCGTGATCAGATCCTATGCCTCCAGAGCAAAGACACTCTTCGTTCAAGCATCACTCTTCATGCCTCAAGTCAGCTGAACCTGTCTTCCCAGAGATTCCTTTGGACCGCTCCTGCGTACAGATGATGATCGCTCTGGCGAAGGCTAAGCGCTGGCGTCCAATCCCTCCCAGGGCTATGTCTTATTATAGCTTCCCTCAAGAGGATGTCTCTCGCTTCCTGCCCCGAATATCCCTGACGCTGCCAGAGATAAGATCTCGTCTGATTCTGGTAAACGCAATACCTTCGAAAGGACAAAGCCAACTTTGGCTCCACTCTGCTTTGCCTAGATATGACTTCTCTCTTCGGCCTCCGATGTTCAGCTTTCCTCGTCCTCTCGGAATATATTGCCCGGGCTTGCGAGGAGGACTCTCCGGTATTGCCGGATTTTGCAGCTCTTGCCCTGCGAGGGCTGGACGAGGGACTGTATTCTGTCATTGAACAGTTCATGCGTATTTTGCTGCTGGCCACTTCTAGCCGCAGAGCCAACGTGGTGGACAACATGCACATCCCTTACGAGTCAGTCAAGAACAAACTGCTTGATCTGCCACTTCTCGGGGACGACTTGTTTGCCAGGAAATTTACTGAGGTCCTTGAGTTGGGGGGGAAGCGTGTTGAGACTGCCAAGAAAATTTCACTCTGTGAACCCGTGGCTCCCCTACGCTGCCAGCCACCACCGCCACCGAGATGACAGGCCGGTCCGTCCCCGTCTTCAGGTCGCTCCTTTAATCGCCCACTCTGGTCAGCTACTCGACCATCAGACTCCCATCGAGCTCCACCCCAGACTGCTCCTAGGAGACTCCAGCCATGCCTTGCTGGCAGGGGTTCACGTACTGTGTCCCTGGTCCCTTCGGGGAGCGGCGCTGGTGACTACCCCCCTTTGCCTTTGGTGGCCGTCAATCCAAACCCATCAGCGGCTGTCTGGACAATTTCATCGGGTTCTGGTGCAAAATCACTTCGGACAGCTGGGTCCTTGTTCCATCCGGGATGGTTTTCCGTTATATTCCCCCTCCATGAGACAAGTCCAAGGGCCTGGCTCTGGAGGAGATTTCAGCGTTACTTCGCAAGTGAGCCATCACACCGGTGCACCTAATTCAGCTATCCACCTGCTTCCTCTCGACCTTTTTCCTGACACCCAAGAAAGAACCGGGAAAGTGGTGACCGATAATCAATTTGAAACCACTCAACAAATCCATCAAGGCAAACATGGCAAAGCGGTTTCGGATGGAGACCCTGAACATAGTATGGCACTCCCTACCAGTCTCATGTTGGGCCACCTCCATAGATCTACGGGACGCGTTTCTTCATATCCCGATACACAGGTAGGATCGCAAGTTCCTTCGCTTCGAATGCTACGGCCAAACCTACCAGTTTTGAGCTCTTCCGTTCTGCCTCTCCACCTCGCCAAAGGTCTTCACCCGAGTCGCCAAGACTGTCGCCGCCCATCTGCGATAGGGCGACGTTTTAAACTTTCAATACCTGGACGATTGGTTAATCATCGGCCGCTCTCTCAACGAGGCCAAGGCCTGCACTTCCCTCACACGCGACGTCACAACACCCCTTGGGTTCCTTCCTGTTCAAGATAGAATGGGAACCATGTCGGATCCTTCTCATTGCCCCGTTCTGGCCTCTCTAACCATGGTTTCCAAAGCTGATAAGACTCCTGGTACGGCAACCACTGGTCCTTCCAGCCAGGGATGACATCCTTCGTCAACCCAGATCGGGAATCCTCCACCCAGCGCCTTAGACTCTTTACTTGATGTGCTGGACGTTGTCCAACGATCCTTCAGGGTGTTGCGTCCATGGCGGCCCAGGGTCGACAACTGTCCACTTGCAAAATTTACAACAGCCGACTACAACATTGTAATAGATGGTGCGACAACCACAATGTTTCTCCAACCGAAGCTTCTGTGAGCTCCGTCATAGACTTTCTCATGTATCTGTTCCACTCGAGCCTCCAGGTTGCTACCATCCGCAACTACCAGTCAGCCTTGGCGGCTGTTCACTCGGGGTTCAGCGATGGATTGACTGCCTCTGACAACTGTGATATCCACCATCTCCTTCCAGGAATGTTCGTCGAGCATCCCCTCGTCAAGCATCTGGTTTTATCTTGGGATCTTAAAGGCGTTCTACGTGTCCTTGCCAGTCCCCTCTTCGAGCCACTGTTAGACATATCTGATCTCCATCTAAGCATCAAACTGGCATTCCTTCTCGCGGTCGTTACATCGAGACGCGGTAGTGAACTACACACCTTATCGATCGCCGATGGTCACATCCGTTGGGAGTTGCATGGGGTTCGCCTTATTCCAACCATTGGGTTTCTAACGAAGAAACAGATGCCTGCCTTCTAGCCTCCTGATATTTTTGTCCCCACCATAGCCTCACTTTCGGGAGATGACTGTGACAAGAGATGGTACCCAGTTCGAACTCTCAAGCGGTATCTTGACAGGACCAAGAATCGCAGAGAATCTAATTCACAGCTCTTCATCACTTTAGCAAAACCCTTTCACCGTCAAAGGAGATTATTGCCTGATGGACAGTCTTGGCCATCATCTTTGCTAACCGGGACTGGCCGGCACAACATGTTGAGGCGACCTGACCCCATGTCAGGGCTCATGATGTTCAGGCCGCCTCTGCATTCTGGTCGTACTTCAGGGGAGTCCCTCTGGCTGAAATCTGCCAGGTGGCATGTTGGAAATCTCCCTCCACCTTCACCAAGTGCTACCTGAAGGACATTCTTCAGAACGAAACAGCCAATGGCAGAACAACCCTGAGCTCGTTGGTCCAGACAATGTCTAATGCTGTTCCGGGATGAGTGACGGATACTTTGACCTGGCAGCGCTCCGCCTTATGTTCCCACTAGTAATTACACTCCCATCGCCGACCTGCCTCCAGGGTACCGTGCTACTTTGCATATGTAGGCTGGGCAGGGGTATGTGAACACAGGAGACTCCTCCCCCACGTGATGTGGGTCGTGTCTCCAAGTGATACTTACCCCTGCCCGGCTGCTCCTGCCCTTCCTTCCCTACTTCAGCTCCGGTGACATTTACTGCTTCGAAAAAAATGACGAACATGGTGGTGGGATCTCAGTGCATAGTCTTTTCAGCGAATTGTAATAGGCACATGGGAAATTTGTATATGTAGGCTGGGCAGGGGTAAGTATCACTAGGCGATGCGACCCACACCACGTGGCGGAGCATTTTACAGGAAAGCCGTTGTAAATTAACCAAAAAAGTCCAATAGGAACACACCTTTTGATGCACTGGGTAATCAACAGCAGCCAAACAAACTGGTCATGTTGAGACAATGGGAGCTAGTCTCATCGAACAATGCCACTGTTGGATCTTGTGGTGGCTGGCAACCACAGAGTCCCAGGCTGTTTTGCCTTGGACAGAGAGGACATGTAGGATCTCGTTACACTGGGCAAGCAAATGACTTTGACAAATGATGCAGACTGATGTATCTGGCAGGGTTTCCAGCCAAACAGCCCTGAACAGTTAGAGTTATATATTGTGCTTGTTTTGATTATAAAATCTCTTTGGAATCATTCATATTAATTGACAAAAATGAGGCCTTTCTATTTCTCCAGTCCAGTTAACGTTTTCTTTAAAAGGCTGTTGTTTGCAAGTGGATAGAAGCAGAGATGGTAGTGAGAGTGGAAGAAACATGTGCTGTCCATCCAGGAGAAGTCTGTCTAATGCAGTGATTGTAAGTTGTCTTTTCAAGTATTGAAGATGATGTTGAGGCAATACATTAATGTCACAGACATAAGCACAAAGTAATGTCAAGGCAATTTTGAAGATAA